ATCCAAGTAGAAGCTCAAGAAGCCTTGTGGTGTAGGGACCCCAGAGCTGTGTGTAGGAAGGTCCACTGAGACATGGGCCCTGGGTCAACAGGTGGCCTCCAGAGAGGCTGGAAGGACAGAAGCCCATTCTTGTTGAAAAGCCTCCTGTCAAAGTCCAAAAGGGACAGCAGGGAGGGCCTGCTGAGGAAACCTTCCAGAAGCTTCTGCAGCCCCACGGAGGGAACAAATCTGTGTAGGGCTGGGAAGGGCATCTGCTCTCCAGCGAGGCAGAGGCCCGGGACCTTCACTGACCAGCCGCCAGCCCCAGCTCTCAGCCTCAAAGCAGTTCCGTGGACAGTGACAATAGCGTCGAGCTTGATATTGGAAGGTTTTGCCAAAAAGGACAGGGAGTCCATAAGCAGTTTAGAAATTCAAGGAGGGACCGAAACTGGTTTGACTCAGTGGATAGAGCATCGGCCTGCACACTGAAAGGTCCCAGGTTTGATTCCGGTCAAGGGCATGTACCTTAGTCTCATCTCCACAGACTTCCCAGGGCCCGGCATCACACTGCCCCTCGCATCCAGGGCCACGTGTTCATCACCCAGCCCAACAGCCCTGCAGGGGAGAGGCTGTCCCCCAGCCTGCCCTCCCTTGCAGGCACCTTGCTGGCTTTTCCTTGGCCAAGGTCAGCATCTGGGGCTCCCTTCTTTGGGTACGGATGGCCACGGGGTATTGCCACCTCCTCTGCATTTCCCTTTGCAGCTCAGCGACAGGCCCAGTGTTTTATTTTTATTTTATATATATATTTTATTTATTTTTAACAGAGAGGAAGGGAGAGGGATAGAGAGAGTTAGAAACATTGATGAGAGAGAAGCATCGATCAGCTGCCTCCTACACACCCCGAACTGGGGATGTGCCCGCAACCAAGGTACATGCCCTTAACCGGAATCAATGATTCTCTCTCATCGATGTTTCTAACTCTCTATCCCTCTCTCTTCCTCTCTGTAAAAAATCAATAAAATAAATTTTAAAAAAGAAATAAAGGAAGGAAGAAGCTGCAAGCTGTAGTGATGAATGCAAAGGCGACTGAGCACCTGCTCCCATTACTCCTACCATCCATATTTGCCATTGGACAGTCCTCTTTGGTTTGGCCTGGTTGTTCAATGAACAACCTTTGTCTAAGTGATACAGATTCTGTCTCTTTATTTAGTAGCACTTGGTGGCATCCAACGGTAGTTAACTATTGACTATGAAGATAGTAGTCACCCCTTAACTCCGTGGTTGGCAAACTGCGGCTCTTGAGCCATATACGGCTCTTTGGCCCCTTGAGTGTGGCTCTTCCACAAAATACCACGGCCTGTGTGAGTCTATTTTGAAGAAGTGGCATTAGAAGAAGTTTAAGTTTAAAAAATGTGGCTCTCAAAAGAAATTTCAATCGTTGTACTGTTGATATTTGGCTCTGTTGACTAATGAGTTTGCTGACCTCTGCCTGAACTCATCTGAGTACCCAGCTAACTCATTTTCTTTCCTTTTCTTTTTTTAAATATATGTTATTGATTTTTTACACAGAGGAAGAGAGAGGGACAGAGAGTTAGAAACATTGATGAGAGAGAATCATCGATCAGCTGCCTCTTACACAACCCTCACTGGGGATGTGCCTGCAACCAAGGTACATGCCCTTGACCGGAATCGAACCCGGGACCTTTCAGTCCACAGGCCGATGCTGTATCCAGTGAGCCAAACCAGCTTTGGCTAGCTAAGTCATTTTCAAAGCACACCTGGAAGATGGAAGTTTCTACAATAAAAGTTGCTTTACCAAGAAAAGGCACCAAGTGGTTAAACGATTGGCATATTTACCAAATTCTAGTACAGTGCTTGTATGGGTCAGGCACTATTCTAAGTGCTTGGCAAATTTTAAGCCATATATGCTTCATGACATGAATATTGCCATTATGCTTCTTTTGAAAATGAGGAAAACCAGGCACAGAGAGGTTAGGTAACTTGACCAAGGTCACACAACTAATAATTGAACCAGGTTTTGAGACCAGGCGAACTGGTTCTAGAGTCCATGTGTTATGCTGCTTCTCCCAAAGCCTGTTCTTAGGTTTCCAAAGGCTGCTTCTGCTAGGGGACCGGCCATAGAAAATGATTGATAACCATAATCTGCATGATGGGAGAACAAGGGCAGACTTAGAAGGATGTGTGATGTGATGCAATCACTGATGCGATGAAAGCCAGCCCCAGAGTGATACAACCCACAGATGAAAGGAAAGCTTTGCCCTCGCTCTTGTTGGGCACGCAGAAGAGGTCAAAGGCAGCACTAATCCTGAAATATTAATCTAGTGGCTCAGCTGACATTCTCTCAGCTTGAGCACGCCCATATTTCAAGAGCACCCTTCTAAATTGGCAAATAGAAGGAGATGCTCACAACCCACCATTATTCTCACACTTTACCATGGATTCAGGAGACCTATGTTTCCATGGAAACACTATGGCACCTCTTTTAATGAACTTCCCTTGGGGTTCTGTCATGAGTGCGTACATCTGTCTTCCATATTTACAAACTACATTGCTAGTATTAAAATCTTTTTTTGATATCTCATTGCTCCTAGGACGAAGGTCTAAGACTTAGACTCTAAGTCCTCAATGAGGTCTAAAAGGACCAAGATGATCTACCGCCAACCTTGATTCCATTTCTCAAAAGTGGCTTTGATCTGGGACTGTACTGGGCCTGCCCTTCTCCTGTCCCCCAACCCCAACCCCACTAGTCAGTGCAGCTCAGTGGTCAGATCGGATCTGAAAGGCTTTTTCTTCAGCCTTTCCTGATTGCTCTCAGCTTTCCACAACCCCCTTTATGATGGAAATGTATTCATTATATGTATAATTATATGTGTAATGTATCCATTCAAACCCTAGCCAGAGCTCCTGGTGCTGGAGACTCAAGAAGTCCAAGAACCCTTAAAAAAAAATAAAAAAAATATATATATATATATATATATATATATATATATATATATATATATATATATTGATTTCAGAGAGGAAGGGAAGGGAAAGACCGGTAGAAACATCAATGATGAGAGAGAATCATTTGTTGGCTGCTTCCTGCACACCCCACACTGGGGCTTAAGCCTGTAACCGGGGCATGTGCCCTTAACCAGAATCGAACCCAGGACCCTTCATTCTGCAGGCAGACGCTCTATCCACTGAGCCAAATCGGCTAGGGCACCAAGACCCCTTTTCTGTCTGCAGTAAAATGCTCAGGCAGATCTAGAACACACTGTTAACGTAAAAAAAACCCAGCAACATTGAAACCTGTAAATAATTTTTGTGAGTTTATTTGAGCTCAACTATCAACATAGGCCGGGAAGCAGAACCTCAATGAATTGAGATGGTGCTCTGGAGAATGGCGGGTTACATCTGTATTTACACATTGCAATCAAAGGAGGGACATAGGTGGGTGACATGAAATTCATTGGTGATGGATTAAGGAGATGGAATAAAGCAAAGCAGTGGGAAACGCCTGGGATTGGAGAAAAAGTAAAATGATGGACACATACTTGGGTGGGTGCAGGAACAATTAAAATGATAACGAAGGAATTTGTGGTATCTGTCCTGGCAGCACCATATCTGGTTGTGCCCCAGGGGCTCCAGAAAAAGGGAAGTTACAAGTTACCCAGACATCTCACAGATATGTTATCTTAGAGGCTGTGTGGCAAATGGGCTCTGGAAAGATCTAAGTTGATCTTTGTCAGGGAAAATATCGGCCTAGGACATAACTGCCCACTATAACCTGTTTGTAGTTAAATATTTAATTTTCAGACGATCTTTTGTGGTTATGTTAGGTCTCTGAGTTTGCTAGACAGCCACGCAGGCTCCCCCTGAGCTTGTCAGGTCAGCATGTGGCTCCTTAAGTCCACAACTCCTACCCCCGCTTGTAGCCTGGGCTGACTTGTATGTGGACTTCTTTTTTAAAAAATATATTTTATTGATTTTTCACAGAGAGGAGCAGAGGATAGAGAGCTAGAAACGTCGATGAGAGAGAAACATCGACCAGCTGCCGCAACCCATGTACATGCCCTTGACTGGAATCGAACCTGGGACCTTTCAGTCTGCAGACCGACGCTCTACCACTGAGACAAACCGGTTTTGGCCTATGTGGACTTCTTAAAGCCCCACCCTCACCCGGGTGGACGCCGGGACTTTTAAATAAAGACCTGAGCTCAGGATTCCTGCCACAAGTTCCTGCTATGGTTGTCCTGGAGCACCTTTTAAAACGTGGAGTCTAAATCTGAACCCAGTACCCAGGTGCAATACCACTGGCACACAGTTAGTTAGCACTTGGACCTGGGAACTCCTCTGAAGAGACCCCAGAGCTGTTTTTGTGTTTCTGGTCTGTGCTGTCACCATCAGGCTCGCCATGCTGTTAGCTCACATTGAATATGTGAATCTAGAACTAGAGCCAAAAGGCTTTTCCCATTGACCTCTCAGTACTACATGGGGAATCGATTTGGGGATCCTAGTCAAGTAGGCAGCATTTTCCAACTGTGAAAACACGGTCTCTTTAAAAATCAGCGGCAGGACCATTTATAGAAACCAGATGTTCTGACATTTGACGTTGCTAATTTTTATCGTCTGGTGTATTGAGCGAAGGCGGCACCGGCAGAACTGACACACGATAGGACTGGCACGATTTCCAATGTCCACAGCTACTCTGTGGTATTACAATTTAATACCAATGTAATAATAATTTAATTTAATAATTAAATCCCAGAACGCGCTTTCCCCGCTGTGTCCGGGAGGCGGGGCCCCACTCTCCAACGCAGGCGCCCTCGGGTTAAGGCTCTGCACCCGCCCTCACCAAGGGGTGACTCAATAGCCCTCAGCCCCGCCCCTCTCTGGCGCAGACAACCAATGGGAGGCTGCAGGCTTCTCCTGTGGGCGGGGCATTCCCTGATAACCGTCCTGATTGGTCCACGGCCCGCGAGGGCTATGACGTAGCACGCCTCCGTGACTTCACGCTGCGGCTGAGGCGTGGCTTCCGCTCGGGCGCCTGAAGGAGACTCGGAGGCGGCCGGGTCGCTGTGCTTGTGCCGGGAGGGAGTCGTGGGCCCTGCTGCCAGCCTCGGTCCATGAGGAAGATGCTCGCCGCCGTCTCCCGCGTGCTGTCGGGCGCTGCCCAGAAGCCGGTGAGTCGGCGTGAGCCGCGCGGGGTGCGGCGCGAGCGGGGTCGGGGCTGGAGGACCCGGTGCGTGGGCGGCCTCGGCGCGGTGCGGCTGCGACTATGGCGCGGGCACTGCGTCCGGAGCCCCGGAGCCGCGAGCCTTTGTTTTGCCTCCGGGCGATGCGTTTCTGTCCCCGCGGCCCGGGAGGAGCAGTGGCGGGGCCTCCCGCGCCGACCGGGCGGGGGTGGGGGCTTTGCGGTATCCGCATGGAGGTCAGGCGCGGGGCTGCGTGGGCCCCGGATCTGCGTGTGCGTTTTACTGCAGACAGAAAAGGGGGCCTTGGACTTCTCAGTCTCCAGTTGACCACCCTTCCCGGTCCATTCATTTAAAAAAATATTTATTGATGGTGGTATTACATCTGTCCCCCTTCCACCACCCACTCATTTTGTCTTCCTAATTACCTTCCTCTTGACGCAGAGGCTACGTAGAATGTTAAAGAGCATGGGATCCAGAGACTGAGTGGCTCCTTTGAACACCATCCTCGCCATTTGCTAGCCCTGCGACCTTGGGCAAGGTGTTTTTATTTTTAATCCTCCCCGAGGATATGTTCCTACTGTTTCCCCGAAAATAAGACCGTGTCTTAGATTCATTTTTTCTCCCAAAGTTGCGCTAGGTCTTATTTTCAGGGGATGTCTTATCTTTCCATGCGCTAGGTCCTATTTTCGGAGGATGTCTTATTTTCGGGGAAACACGGTATTTGTTTTAGAGGAAGAGGAAGGGAGAGAAACATTTGGGGAAATTGAACCGGCTGCCTCCTGCCCGCTCCCTACCGGGGACGGCGCCTGAAGCCTGGGCATGTATGTGCCCTGACTTGGTATGAAACCGTGTACTCTTGGTTCATGGGTCGGCGCTCAACCACTGAGCCACACCGGCCGGGCTGAATTGATTTTTGAGTTGCGGTCGTCTGTTAGCTGGATAAAGCAAGAGTGGAACGGAGCTTCATTCTGTCAGAAATTCTTGTTGAGAGAAAACTATTGTAGTGGTAATGGATTCTCCATGTATAACATTTCTTTTTCTTTTATTTAAATTTTTTATTTTTTATTTTATTTTAATTTTATTTTTAATGAGGATAAGAGGATGAGTTAATGCTCCTTACTTTGAGCTCCCCGCTTCTTGGCTATTTTGGGTATTTTTTTTTCCTGTTGCCTGCATATGTGGCACAGGAAAATATTTTTTAAAATATTAACTGTATTAACCCTAGATTGTGTGTCTGTGGCCTGAACCCCTGTTTAGTAGTTCCCCCCTTTTGCAACAGAGCAAATTCGCTAACCAGTGTTTCTCCTTTCTGTAATAATTGATGTGTTCCCACAGTGCTCAGTGCCCTTTGGGCGCGTGGTTCTCGTGCTCATTCATCATCAGGTTTCAGTTGTGTTAGCACAGGTTGCTTAGAGTGTTCAAAGTGTTGGTTTTAGAATCATATGTGTGTGTGTGTGTGTGTGTGTGTGTGTGTATATATATATATATATATATATATATATATATATATTTTAACTTAAGTACCTGTCATTTCATATTTGAATGAGTTTAAGAGTTTTCAAGATTTTTATTTCACAGAAGATTAAGTTGCATTTAAAATGTTATTCTTTGTCTTATTGTTTGTGTTTATGACTCTTATTATTATTATTTTACTTTTTAAATAGTAGGCAAAATGTTTCACTTATACTGGTAGAGTCTGGAATTTGAAAAATATTTTCTCTTTCACTTGAATGTTGCTCTTCAGGGGAGACCTGCAGCCAAGCTATCTCTCCCAATTATTTTTTAAATTTTTATTTATTGATGAGAGATTTTTTTTATTTATTGATAAGAGATTATTTAATGAGGAGAGAGAAACATCTATGTGACATCAATGTTGCTCTTCAGGGGAGACCTGCAGCCAAGCTATCCCTCCCAATTATTTTTAAATTTTTTATTTATTTATTTTTTTTTTTAAATATATTTTTTTAATGATTTTTCAGAGAGGAAGAGAGAGGGATAGAGAGTTAGAAACGTCGATGAGAGAGAATCATCGACCAGCTGCCTCTTGCACACCCCCATGGGGGATGTGCCCGCAACCAAGGTACATGCCCTTGCCCGGAATCGAACCCGGGACCTTTCAGTCCGCAGGCCGACGCTCTATCCACTGAGCCAAACCGGTGCCGGCTAAATTTTTTATTTATTGATGAGAGAAATTTTACTTATTTATTGAGGAGAGAGATTATTTATTGAGGAGAGAGAAACATTGATGTGACATCAATCAGCTGCCCCCCTCTCCCAGAATCAAGCCCACAATCTGCTCTGACTGGGAATTGAGCCCATGACCTTCTGGTGCATGGGATGACCCTCAACCAAGTCACACTGACCCTCCCAATTCTTGATCACTGCACTGTGGGTGTGGGACCTGCCTGTTCTGTGTGTCTACCTCTTCTATCAGTCTTGATGTGGCTTCTTTATATTCTTGACTGGAGGCCCTGTGCACCAAGCAGGCCTAAGCTGGCAGTCGGACATCTCCCAGATTGGAGGCCCAATTAGAGGCAGGAGAGGCTCCTGCCACTGCCCGTGCTTGCCAGCCATGAGCCAGCTTCTGGCTAAGTGGGACTCCACACAAGGGGGAAGCTCATACGTTCAGTGTCTGCCCCCTGTTGATCAGTGCTTGTCATAGTAACTGGCTGTTCCACTGTTTGGCTGATTTGTATATTAGCCTTTTATTACATAGGATTATGGGACTTCTGATATAACTTAGTCTTCAGGTGGTTCTCAGTGTTGGTTCTATAATTTAATTGTAATTTTTTAAAAATATATTTTATTGATTTTGTACAGAGAGGAAGGGAGAGAGATAGAGAGTTAGAAAAATCGATGAGAGAGAGTCATCGATCAGCTGCCTCTTGCACACCCCCTACCGGGGACATGCCCGCAACCAAAGTACTTGCCCTTGACCGGAATCAAACCCGGGACCTTTCAGTCCCCAAGCCAACGCTCTATCCATTGAGCCAAACCGGTTTCGGCAATTTAATTGTAATTTTGATGTGATCATGGGAGGAGGTGAGCATAGCATTTACCTACTCTTCTATCTTTACTGGAAATCCCAAATAATTTTTTTATTTAATATATTTTATTGATTTTTGTACAGAGAGGAAGGGAGAGAGATAGAGAGCTAGAAACATCTATGAGAGAGAGTCATCGATCAGCTGCCTCTTGCACACCCCCTACTGGGGATATGCCCGCAACCAAGGTACATGCCCTTGACTGGAATCGAACCCGGGGCCCTTCAGTCCCCAAGCTGACGCTCTATCCATTGAGCCAAACCAGTCCCGGCCCAAATAATTTTTTAACTGCCAAAAATAACACGTCTGTTTTGTGATTGCCAAATATAACGTTGTCTGTCACCTTACCCCTCTCAGCTCCATTTCTTCCCAAATTTTTCAATTCTCTTCATTTAGTCTTAGGTATTTTAGTGAACTTTCTCTACTTCTAACTTAACTGAAGCATTTGTTTGTAGTAGTACTTAAGCTTTTTTCCCTCCAGCAACATCATTGTCTTTACTTGTTGGTTTTATTAGATAATGGCCTGTTGCTGGTAAAGAGATAAGATAATAGTTTTCTGCCTGTAGGCTTGTACACTTCGAGATACAACTATCAGGTAATCTTAACCCTTCACCAAGGTGAAGTTGGATGACTATGAATCAAAAGTACTTAAAAATTTATTTCAGAGGGAGAGGGAGAGAGAGAAACATCAATGATGAGAGACGGCTGCCTCCTGCACACACACACACACACACTGAGTATGGAGCCTGCAACCCGGGCATGTGCCCTTAACTAGGATGGTACCTGGGACTCTTCAGTCCGCAGTCTGAGCCCAACTGGGTAGGGCCCAAAGTCCTTTTTGTGGCATCTGAAGAATGTGCTTCAATTCTCCATGAAAAGAAGTCATGTGAAAATGTGGCAGAGTGTAGCTAAAATAGCCCGATAATTTAACCTGTACCTTAGCCATCACATAGAATATTTTTGCTGCAAGCAGGTATGTTCAGTTGTAAGAATGAAAAGGTTTTTACCCTACCAAGTGGTGACAGCCCTTAACCATCAAGAAGGGAACATTGCTGTAGAGAACATCTCTCCCTTGTGGGGCTTCAGGAGGAACCTACCCAAGATATAATCTGTTCACATTATAAAACAACCCTCAAATCCATTATTTTTAAGTTAGGGAGTGCTGAGTACCATTTCTTTTGACTTATACATTTCTCACTAATATATTTATCTCATACTTCAAAGTGACTGAGTGGATTGGTTTCTTTTTTGCCCCCATTTTCTTTCTGCTGTTTGTCTTCAGATAAGGGGTACAATCCTGTTTCATTGGCCAAAGCATGGATTCATTTGGAAGAAAAGATCTCACTGCAGTGCAGAGAAGGGAGATAAGCCAGTGAATATATTGGGGCTTATTCATGTTCCAGGACTGCACCCTGATAACAGATTAATAATAATAACGACTTTAGCGGAAGCCGGTTTGGCTCAGTGGTAGAGCGTCGGTCTGCGGACTGAAAGGTCCCAGGTTCGATTCCGGTCAAGAGCATGTACCTTGGTTGCGGGCAATGGTAGGGGGTGTGCAAGAGGCAGCTGGTCGATGTTTCTCTCTCATCGACGTTTCTGGCTCTCTATCTCTCTCCCTTTCTCTCTGTTAAAAATCAATAAAATATATTAAAAAAATAATAGTAATGACTTTAAAAGTAACAGAGAATAAAAATACTTATATATTTGTGTATTTTGGTCTTGCAAGGCAAGCAGAGTGCTGGTGGGATCCCGGAATTTTGCAAATGATGCTACATTTGAAATTAAGGTAAGAGGTCTTTTACTTGTGTTAACTTTCCTGCAGGTCCCTTTAATATACAGTTTTACCCTTGGAACAGAACATTTGATTTTTTTTTTTTTTTTTTGCTTTTTTGCCATTTTCTTTCAAATGTTCAGAGATGTTTAGCAAAAATGTACTCTTCTTTAGCAGCTTGCTGGTGTTTGGGGTAGAAAGAAGGGCAAGCTAAAAAATTAAAAATTAGACTCCAAAGTTTAGAATGTGATTCGGTAAAACTTGAGTGAGAAGATTCTTTGAATACTTTTTTGAAAGTTTTCAACCTAGAACTCTCTTGACTTGTAGGGATTTTCAGAGAAATTCATCTTAGCAAGATTTCCTTCCTCTGGTATCCCATCCCATTGCACAGTGAGCTTTGCGATATAAGGGGTCAGAAGCAGTATGCAGCATTTCTGCCATGTCCCTATGGGTTTTGAGTTAAATATTATTTGTGAAGGGCTTAGATCTTACCATGGGGTTGGCAGCGTTTACACTTTAGTAACTGGAAGACAACTGGTGCCATTTTAGAAGTGTGACCTTCACCGGCTGGAAGAGGGCCCTCCTGTCACCACTGTGCTCACCCGGGAGGATGGGCTCCGATACTACAGGATGATGCAGACTGTTCGCCGGATGGAGCTAAAGGCAGATCAGCTGTATAAGCAGAAAATTATCCGTGGTTTCTGTCACTTGTGTGATGGTCAGGTGAGTGATAGTTTTGCAATAAAATCGTGTCATTTAGGAATTTAAGTGTGGCTTCCACCTCGTGGCTATTACTCCGCCTTATACATTGGGAGGATTCTAGGCTGGTATTTTACAATAAAAGTGAAAATGCTGAGTGAGAGCTGCTATGCAGCTTATGCTAAAGAATCTATTCATGCATTACATTCCTCTGCCTTTATGGTATTGTGATCACCTGCATTAGATATACTTTTGGGGTAAAGGGTTTTTGCTTTGTTTCCTGTGTGTGTGTGCGGGAGGGGGGTGGTTGTTAGAATTTAAATTTCTACAGGGACCAGCTAGTTCAGTGGTTGGCAAACAGGCTCGTGAGCCACATGTGGCTCATAAGCCGTGGTTTGCCGCTCTGTTGACTAATGAGTTTGCCGACCACTAAGCTAGGTAGAATAAATGAGTGAAGAAAGCTAGCTATACAAAATAGAGAGTATGACAAGGACTGGTGGTGAACTGGATAGACAGCTCCCACTTGTAGGGGATGTCATGACTTGGTTCCAGCCAGTTGGCGCCATATGGAAATAGGGGGCTAATGCTTCCTGTTCATTTCTTCAAAACAAGACAGAAGACTCGATTTTCTTGTGAGATTCCCTCTATTTTAAATGTTGACATCTCATTTGGGATTTCTTTTTAAATCACCTTACAGCCCAAAGAAAACATTCATCTGTGGATTGGCAGTTTATGGCTTCTGCTTCTGTTTCTGATGATAAAGCTACTTTCGGCGGTTATTAAGGAAGAGTTCAGCTAGGCCAAATGTTTCATATTAGTCTAGGTCATCGGTCAGCAAACTCATTAGTCAACAGAGCTGCAAACTGTGGCTCGCGAGCTACAGTTTGCAGACCACTGATCTAGGAAACCTTTTAATCTAGAAATGTGTATTGTATTGATTAATTGATGCTTCTTCCTTTAATGCAGGAAGCTTGTTGCGTGGGCATGGAAGCTGGCATAAATCCCACAGACCATCTGATCACAGCCTATCGGGCTCATGGCTTTACCTTTACTCGTGGGCTTTCTGTTCGAGAAATTCTCGCAGAGCTTACAGGTTTGTTACTAATTTACCAAAAGGGGAAATTAGTGAACTTAGTTTTTAAATCTCTCCTATTAAGGTGCTAACTCCCATCTTAGCCAATTTGGCTCAGTGGATAGAGTGTCAGTCTGTAGAATGAGGGGTCCCGGGTTCGATTCTGGTCAAGGGCACATGTCTGGGTTGCAGGCTTGATCTCCAATAGGGGTGTGCAGGAGGCAGCCAGTCAGTGATTCTCTTTCATTATTGATGTTTCTATTTGTCTCCCTCTCACTTCCTCTCTGAAATCAATTTAAAAAAATGTTATAGATGCTAACTCCTATGAGTTAATATTAAAAATTTGAATGAAAAGAAATATAAATATTCTCTGCCTTTTGAGTAAACTGACCATTTAAGGACCTGTAGAACAGGAGGAATATGTGTGTGCACAGAGGGGCAGATGCTTATACAACTTAATTGGCCTCTAGAGTCCTAATGGGTGAGCCCTAAGTAAACGTTTCGGTGTGGTTTTGTTTGCATATTTGGTCTTTGATGCATATGTGTGTGCTGCCATTTCCAGGACGCAGAGGAGGCTGTGCTAAAGGAAAAGGAGGATCAATGCATATGTACGCCAAGAATTTCTACGGGGGCAATGGCATCGTTGGAGCTCAGGTAGTTGAGGATGGGGATTGCATGCTTTCCTAGATTTGGCCCTTGTCTCTTTATAATAGTTCATGCCCCCGAGAACTTCCCTCTGATGTATTTCAGTACTCTTGGAGCTTAGAGTGCTTAACCAGTCCCATTGCTTTGTACCCTACCATTTGATCGTTTAATACATAGATTTGGACAATGACTTATAAGTAAGCAAGAGCCTCTAGCAGTGGAGCTATAACTTTACTTTTTCATTTATATTTAAGTACATTAATTGCTTTGTCACATCCACTTGGCCCTACTACTTCTTCCCACTACAGACAGTGCTGATGCTAGACCAGGAGAGGCAGATGATTAGCATCTCAGGGCTTACTTAGAGTGCCTATGCTAACTTCGTGTTTCTATCAGTTAGTGAATAATGAAGAAGTAACAGCATAAAATCATATCGAGATTGTTTGGTTTACTTTCTGATATATTGAGATTTCTACAATATGTTTGTTTTTATGTCTAGGTTTTATTTTTTTGCCTCATAATTAGTTGGATCTTTGAGTTCAGAAATATTATTGCTTAATATTTGAGAGTATAGTAATTACCTTACTCTCTTGCTTTATTTCTAATAATAAGGTTAGAGTAAGCATAGATAGGATTGGGGTAGGGAGAGTTTGTAGTGATGGAATAATTTCTATCTCAATTTCTGGTGAAGAGTTAAAATTCAGAGCATTAATTTCTCCCCTTGTGGATTTCTGTACTTTCTTTCTTGGTTGTCCTTAATACTAGGTGCCCCTGGGAGCTGGGATTGCTCTGGCCTGCAAGTATAATGGAAAAGATGAGGTCTGTTTGACTTTGTATGGCGATGGCGCTGCTAACCAGGTGAGTGTGGGCCTCTTTCAAAGTGTTGACTATTCTTAGGTCAGTTTATAGAGAAGATATTATTTACTGGTTAAAATAGACAAGGTAAATTTGGGTTTTATGGCCAGATTAGAGATTCGCCTCTTGGCATATTTTATAAGTGCTTTATAGGGATGCGCTCCTGTGAGGGAGCTTTCCTTTACTATACCTTAGTGCTTTGTGGACCTTTTAATATTTAAACCCATTGCAAACCAATTCTTAAACCAGTACCGTGATGTACTGATTCAGTCTCTGGAAGGCCTTGGCATTGTCAAACTCCTCTCATAGTTTCTGAGCCTTGACTCTGTGCTTTTCCAATCATGGTCTGAGACATCACTAGTCTGTGGATGGCACTCTTTAAGGCCCTGCTGTGGATGCTGATTCTTAGATACTGGGTCACTGGTTATCCAGTGAGTCTCTTAGAACTTACAGTAAAGCATAAAACTAGGTAGCCACACATTTTTATGTGTTCCTCTTTTCTCTGGTCTATATACTGCCTTGGCCCCACAGAAATAAGTGGTGTTTGCTTTTCATATCCCTTAATTGGAAAACATGATGCTTGCTGCATCTGCGACCCCCCCCCACACACACACACACCTTTCCGCAGAAGCTTCGTTGTAGATGCAGCTTTTTATATTTTATGAAAGCTTTCTGTCAGGTAGGATGAAATCTGAGAAAAACAGCAAAGTGACCTCACTTGAACTTCTTATGCATGCTTCCAGGGTCAGATATTTGAAGCTTACAATATGGCAGCTTTGTGGAAATTGCCTTGTATTTTCATCTGTGAAAATAACCGCTACGGGATGGGAACGTCTGTTGAGAGAGCAGCAGCCAGCACGGATTACTACAAGAGGGGCGACTTCATTCCTGGGATGAGGGTAAGGACACCTTCATGGCTCAGTGCTCTGTGTGGGTGTGTACTTGACCATTTCAGACAGATTGAAGAGTTGTATTTTTGGGTGTGTTTTTTTTTAATCCTCACCTGAGGATATTTTTCTCATCGATTTTTGTAAGAGAGCGGAAGGGACAGAGGAGGGGGAGAGAAACAGTGCCGGGAAAGAGACACATTGATTAGTTGCCTCCAGCATGCACCTCACAGGCAGGAGATGGAACATGCAACCCAGGCATGTACCCTTCATTGGGAGTGAAACCTGCAACCCTTAGATCTGTGAGCTAGTGCTTTAAGCACTGAGCAACTACCCAGGGCAAGAGTTCTGTTTTCTTAATGCAGGAGCAGCTCACATAGGATTAAAATGATCTTAGGCGGTTTGATTTTTACTCTGTCCCTTTGCCATGTATTAACAGGTGGATGGAATGGATGTCCTGTGTGTCCGGGAGGCAACAAAGTTTGCAGCTGCCCATTGTAGGGCTGGAAAGGTAAGACTTGATCTGTGGCCTCTGGGCTAGAGATTTCGAGAGATGTTTATCTGTCTTAAAGTTAAAAGATTGCCTCCCCCATGTCTGTCATAGATATGCAGGGTAGCTACTGACTGAGGTGCATAAGATAGAAGTGGAGTCCGGTCAAGTGAATCAGATCCCTTTATAAATAGAGTTGTCTTGGTAGCTTACTTCCTGGGAAACATTCCACATTGCTTCCATTTGGGGTCAGTCTTCCAGGGCTTCCTCAGCATTTTGTCTCTGTCTTCATCGTGACACTTGATCTAGTTTGCCTTTTGGTTAATTATGTGCCTCCAACCCCCATTAACAATAAGCTTGTGTGAACAGATTGGGGACCCCCGTAATGTTCAGCAGAGAACTTTGCTTATACTGTGTAATAGGCATTCAGTATAAATTTGTCTTCTACAAATTAAATATTACAGTTGAAGTACGTAATCTTGGTCTTGCTGTTTCAGTTCTAAGAATCTTGATCTTTCAGTTATGCAATGGAGAGTACGGTGAGGTTGGCCTGACAAGAGGAATATGTACCATCAGAGCTAGTGGAAAGGTGTTTTCTTTAAATCAGTGTTCTACAGCCCAGAAAGCATGCCCAGAGGTTCACCTTTCAGTGACTGTGTGTGTGTGTGTGTCTGGGCACTAATGTAAATTAAGATTTGGCTAGCAGTGATGAAAATGAAAGAAGGGGAGTGAAGCAGCCAGGGCAATGCAGAGCAGTTAAAGAAAAGAATAAAATAGAGCATGATGAAGCTGGGAGGTTGGTGCCACCAGGCTCAGCAGTCTATATCAGGACTGTAGGACTAGGGGGTCCAGTCAAGCCCCTCCCAGTTTCTAAAAGGAAACATGGGCTCTAACCCCACATGGAAACAGGATCAGTGGTTTGTAGAATGTGTTGACTTTCCCAGCCTGACCAAAGCTTTATCTTGGAATTGGGGGGCGTCTGGAAAGTCCCTTATGACCACCTTTTTAAAAAAAATATATTTTATTGATATTTTACAGAGAGGGATGAGAAAAACATCAATGAGAGAAAAACATCTATCAGCTGCCTCCTGCACAACCCCTACTGGGGATGTGCCTGCAACCAAGGTACATGCCCTTGACCGGAATCGAACCTGGGACCCTTCAGTCCGCAGGCCGACGTTCTATCCACTGAGCCAAACCGGTTTCAGTGTGCACTAAGTATTTTTTAAGTATTAATTGGCACAACTCTCAATTAGGTTATTACTGTTTTGCAGATGAGGAAACAGAATACTTAAGAGTACATATCTAGTATATATTACACTAGGATTGGAACACAAGCACTTGGACTCAGAATCTCCCTTTTTATACCAAACTGCCCAAAGATCCTAGATTCACTTCCTTCCCCAAAGGGTGGTTCTTGTAGGGAGCTAGTGTTTTATGAGCAAGCTACCTGGTTGTAGCCAAGCTGGCCAAATCCCGAGCAGAGAGACAGATGGGGTCAAGTATCAGGGTACCTGCCAGCTTCTTGTTACACACTGGCCAGATCTGCACGCAGCAGGATTGGTTGCTAGCCCTTACGGAACACACACTGCCTGAAATGGGTGTGAGGTGGAAATTCACCTCCCCAGCCTATCTTTAGTTCTGTCCTTTTGTGCTTCCCAGCACACATGGAGAATTGCTTTAATCTTATTTTGTTAGTTTTAGTATTTTTCTCTAGTGCTTTAAAAGGGGTCAGTATACTTATAGATGCCACCTGTGATTGGAGGAGAAAGACTAGCTTAGTGACCCTGAAGATAAATGCCACCCCTCTTTCTGCTGCCATACCTGCTTTTTAATAGGTTTTTCTTCCTTAAACTCCAGCCGTTTTTATAGGATCATATGACAAATGCAACACTGATGGAACAAACATTCTTTAACATCAGTAGGCTCTGTAATATGCTAAGTGCCTTTTTGATTCCCAACAAATTGGGGCAGGTTCCTGTTTAAAATGAGAATGAAGAAACATGCAATCTGTATTAGAAATGAGAACAGATAAGAAGCAGTCAACTAATAAATACCTGACAACTCACTTGGTTTATGGATCTGTTGAGAATATGTTTGATCCTGTGTTTGCATTTGAGGCCATTGATTGTTGGTGTGCTGTGCCTGTGGTCTTGCCTAATCTCCCTTGGGTTCTGTTTTAGGGGCCTATTCTAATGGAGCTGCAGACTTACCGTTACCATGGACACAGCATGAGTGATCCTGGAGTCAGGTATGGTCATGGGAAATATGAGCATGGTGTATAAAAGTGGGATGTGCTATGAATGATGCTATTCACATGAAAAAGCAAAGCATTTCAACACTTGCTTTTGAAGTCAGACATTAGTTGGAGTGAGTCCTGGCTGGAAAGCAGTGCCTCCCAATAAATTGGTTCCAATATAGAAAGTATTCTGAAAAATCCCTACTATATAATAACTACATGCTAGCATGAGCAGCAATAACATAAAACCACCGAGAGAAATTCTTCCATAAAGCAGGTCTGATGGTGTAGTAAATTGGGGAGGATTACCCCAGATTCTTTCATGGCATTATTTTTTCTAAAGTGAGAAATTGAAAATGTTCTAGCTGGCACATGGGGCATTCGGTATGTCAAAATAGATGAGTCACAAAAGATAGGGCACACTAGAAAATGGGAGCTTTACAGGTCAATTAGAAATTCTGGCATGTAGTGCTGTGTCCCAGAGAGTGACAGAGTAGTAGATTTAGTCAAAGTAAGCCATAGCAAGCCTTTGAGTGTAGAGTGGAGGAGTTCTAAGGGAAAATATAAAGAGCAACTTCTTTGGAAAAATGCACTTTCTGTAATCCTGTTCAAAAAATGGTCCTTTTAGTGTCATTTCAAATGATGCGTGGGACAAGGATGTATTATAGATTCAAGAATTGGAAAACCTGTTATGCAAGCTTTTGCTGTCCACACGTCTTCAGGGTCTTAAGGGAGAAGAGAAAGGCACATTTATTTCCTGCTTGACATTCTATTGCCTCAGAGTCTGATTATCACTGCTAAGAACATACCTACTGTCCCCACCTACGTGAAATTTAGCTCAAGGGAGGGGGGCAGTTGACAGAGGCTCCACCACTTTCTGCAGATCCTACCTCTAGATCAAAGATGCAAAGAAAGACTTGGCCCCTGTGGTCACAATGCTGGAGAAGCCAGGTGAATGAATTGGCAGTATAGAGTTTTCGATGGATAGAAACAGCTCTTACAAAACAGCAGGTTCAGTTCTTATGCTTTGAAATTATAATTCTGTCATTCCATCAGCGACATAGATGAGTTCCATCTCGGCAACATACTTCCATATATCACAGAACTCTGCTATACTGGAACTGTTCTTACCTACTTCTGTGTTTCCCTCCCTGTAGTTACCGTACCCGAGAGGAAATTCAGGAAGTGAGAAGTAAGAGTGACCCCATCATGCTTCTCAAGGATAGAATGGTGAACAGCAATCTTGCCAGTGTTGAAGAATTAAAGGTATTGTTACTCTTGGTGGTTTAAAAGTGGGCTTTCCTTTCTGAGCAATTGATATTTCTACACACAAAAGTAACTGCCACGCCTCAGGAACTACCTTTTGGGAAAGTATCTGTTATCACAGAACATTAGTCATATTGGCCAAAGCCTGTTCAAACTTCCCAAGAGCACAATTATTTTTTCCTAGAAATATAGTTTGGTAATTATTTTTATTTTGTATTCGTGTTTCCACACTAGGATATATGTGTGCGCGCATGTGCACGCGTGTATAGTACTTTAAAAACATTTTTATTGACTTCAGAGAGAGAAAGGGAGAGGAGATTAAAAAAACATCACTGATGAGAATAATCAATAGCCTGCACGTCCCCTACTTGGGATCGAGCCTGACACCCGGACATGTGCCCTGACCTATTTCATAGGTCCACTGAGCCTCACTGGCTGAGATATATTAAAATATTTTATTGAGTTTTTACAGAGAGGGATAGAGAGAAACATCAATGAGAGACATCGATCAGCTGCCTCTTGCACACACCCTACTGGGGATGTGCCCACAACCAAGGTACATGCCCTTGACCAGAATCGAACCTGGGACTTTTCAGTCTGCAGGCCGATGCTCTATCCACTGAACCAAACCGGTTTTGGCTATACAATTACTTTAAATATTGATATCTGCACTATAAAATATTCCTGTCATTGTGTCAGTTAAATAACATCTTTGTAGCAGCTATTTATTAGTACTAGAAAAATTGTAGTTATATTAGCAACAGGATCAGAGTATAACTACTTGATATTTACACTGTTTATTTAATCTTGAACTGTAATCTGATTTTAGGAAATTGATGTCGAAGTGAGGAAAGAAATTGAGGATGCTGCCCAATTTGCTACAGCTGATCCTGAACCACCTTTGGAAGAACTAGGCTATCACATCTACTCCAACGAGCCACCTTTTGAAGTTCGGGGTGCCAATCAGTGGATTAAGTTTAAGTCCATCAGTTAATGGGACACTGCATGTAATGGATGGTTACATCTTCAGTGGGCTGACAGCAACTGTAAGGAGCTCTTGTTCTCACCCATAGGATATATGTAGATTAAGGTAGTAATTGCATGCAGTTTATACATAGGTCTAAATAGGTAACAGACTTTGCTTAACTTTCTCAGATTATTTCCTTAAAACAATTCTATTTAATCTTGTTTGTATACTATTTTAACAGGTACTTTTTAGTTACTGAAAGGAAAAACAATTCTTTGTATGCCTGTCCAATTCTGCTACTTTATTGTTGGTGGGGGGGCTCATTCCCCTGTCTGGCCCCAACCTCACAGCTAACAACAGCGCACATTAATGCACACACACACACACACCTGTAAAACAACATTTACCATAACCAGGCAGTGGGTAGAAGGACAGTTCCATTTTTAAATAGGACTACTTCACAATCATTTCAAAGGTCAAATAACTTAAAGTGCAATTAACCAGTTACTGTTAACTTATAACCTAAAACAGTGATTCCCAGCCTTTTTGCTAAAACACCCATTGTTTTATCTTTGCAGCTAGTGCTATATAGGGTGTGCTGGTGTTTTTCATTGAAGCAAATTAAAATTCATTTTTAAGAATTCCATAATACTCGATGTCAGAACTGTGGCTCACATTACTGTCCTCACAATACATACCGTTCTACTCACCTTTAAAATGTTGATAAAACAGAGACATAAAACATGAAAGCCAGTGAAAACATTTTATTAACTATTTAGAACTTTTAAAATTGTTCATGGTAACATGTGTGTCTGTATGAGAAACTTTTAACAACAAAGATGTCCTCTAACTCTTTAGAACTTCAAGTTTTTAAATTATTCGTGGTGTTTTACGTGTGTCTGTGTGAGAAATTTAACAACAAAGATGTGAGCTCCTTGCTCACTCTGACTGATTAAGCCTTATCTTGGGTTGCTGGGGCCCCCTGCCTCCGTCTTCTGTACTGGGAGACTTCACTCCAGAGCCTGCAGAGGAGCCCACCACTATGAAACAAAAAGAAAAGTTTTCTTTAGAGTTCAAAAAACTCTTCACAGAATACTTTAGAAGCCCTATAGCAAAAAGCATATAAATAATTCTGTATTTTCTATCATGTTGTAAAAACTTAGTTAAACTAGAAATATGTTCTTTTCACACATGGAAGTGACATTTGTGCCCCAGCAAGAGTGGCACATTGTCTTAGAGGCATATGCAGGTGTGCTGATCTGTACGGAACAGCCCATTTAAGATGCCATGGCAACCAGAATGTAGGCTGCAACTTAAAGACATGTTTTGGTGTAGCGCGGAACGGGGAAAGCGCTTATTTCACCTTCCTGCTTTTCCTACAGAGCCTTTAGCTTCTGCCACCTCTTGGCTTTACTTCCAACTTGAACCTGGGAAAACTGCAGAGTTTAGAGTTTTCTAAACCATAGAAAAAGGAATTATGTTCAATGAAGGGAGAAAGGTAGCAGCAGTTTGTTTTCTACTACTGTATTTAAAAGCATAATCACATGAAAAAAGTTTTTCTCTATTGTACATAATTACATGAAAAAAGTTTATCTCTATTGTATAAAGTGTTCTGAGGCTGTTCTTACCGCAGACCAAGATATCTGAGTTCCTCCTTAGTGATGTCATTAAGAATATCAGAAAGTTTGTAACCTTCTTTAACAATCTGAAATAAAGATCAAATGCATAGGAGGTAAGCACCTTTGTAATTATAGCATAGGATTGTTTTTTTAGGATTATGTATAAATTTACCTTTTCAATAGTATTTGTATCTGCTCCTTGCATTTGCAACCAGTCTACAAGCTCTTGATATGTTCTCTGCCCATAAGATGATGCTGGGTTCTCTGTAGTAATTAGAAGTTTGTGTTATTATATATTGATGTGTAACAATAAAACTTCAACAGTGACAAGGAAATTATTTGAGAATGTAAATGTAATGTGAAAAGGAAATGGATTGAGCCTGGCTCAGCTGCTCTGGTACACAGTGTACAATAGTCCAGAGTCAAATAATCCTTACCTGTGACCTTTAGCTAGTTTGGAACTTGGTTATGTATCACTTTAAATACTTACTCCCATCTTTAAAATGTCTTTTCTCAGGAGTCACATCCCTAACTGCACTGGAAATCAAGGGAGGAAATATATTTTTAGTGATATTTTGCCTCAGACCTCATCCATTCACATTCCAAGAGATAGCTGTAGCCCTTTTGTAAGCAGCACAGAATGGGCAAAGCAGGTTTACTGAGGTGTAACAAACAGTAAATGACCCACTTTTAGGTATGCAGTGAAGTCTTGTTATCGGATACTGTCACAATCAAGATACAGAAATGTCCACCCAAAGATGTGTAGCAAGGAGCCACATCTTTTGTAATCAATCACCTCTGTTCCCTCCCCATTCTGACTTGTTTTCTGTCCTTATAGATTTGCCTTTAACAGAATATTGTGTAAATAGTCTATATTTATGGAGTCATAGTATATAGCCTTTTGAATGTGGCTGCTTTCACTTAGCTTAACACTTTTGTGATTTATTCTGCTTTTAATGTAACAGTAATTCCTTTTTGTGTTATTGATTAGTATTCCGGAATCTACAGGAATACTTACTTAGTTGTTAATTAGAGAATAATCTCAATAATGTCACAGTTAACTAGAATAATAGCTTTTATTTATGTTAATCCTCACTCAAGGATTTTTCCCCGTTTATTTTCGGGGAGAGTGGGAAAGAGAAAAGACGGAAACATCAATTGGTTGCCTCCTGCAGGAGCCCCGGCCAAGGCCGGGGAGGAGTTTGCAACCAAGGAACATACCCTTGACTGGAATTGAACCTGGGACCCTTTGGTCTGTAGGCTGATGCTCTATCCACTGAGCAAAACTGGCTAGGGCTAGAATATTAGCTGTTAAATGGTCTCTCACACAGACATAAGTCAGAGCAAGTTGAAAGTCACTCACCATTAGAGCTTAATTGTGACAGAGAGTGGCACAGTTCTTGAGTTTTCTGTATTGGGGTTTGCTGTACGAGATTCTGGTATGCTCTCTCTGTTTGAAGTAGGCTTTTCAAGAGTCTGGTTTTAAAAAAAAAAAAGCCATCATTCCAAAGAGTCTTAACACCATTCAACTCAAATATGTATTTAACAGAGATTGAGAGAAAGGCACAATCCCAATGGTCAATCTAGTTTCTTCGAAGTTTCGTGAGCAGTCTGTACATGGGTAAATTCCCGGTTTCCTCCCTTTGGGGGAAAAAGGATTAGAGCTCAGGGCAGGAGTATATTTTTTCTCAAAATGTACCATGAACCAAGATAGCCCAGCGGAACTCAGCCAGAATTTATCTCCCTAAGTCAGATTAAGTCACTGGAACTAGTGGTCAGGCTTTTTCCTCTTCTTAGGGGACTAAGCTGAGGAGGTAGAAGCTCATACCGACTATTCCTAGGCAATTTGGGCAGTAGGTACCATCTTCCTGCTCTGCCCCAAACGCAGCTAAAGCACCTTTATACTGCGAGGACGGTCATGCTTTGTAGCGATTTCATGTTTATCAAAGTGCTAAGTATTACTATCAACATTCACGTCTGTCATATTTCAAAAACTTCAAAAATTATGCCACCACCACTAGCTCATTGAGATTCCAGATCTTCCTAAAAAGAAATGATTAGATCTGCCTAAGATTCAACGTTAGAGATCCCTCTGGGTGTATACAGCTTCTCTTCCCAAATATGTACACTTGGCACCTTATGTCTCCCCATTAAATATCAACTTTATGGATGATCATGGGGTTAAAAAGGCATCATTTGGAACCAATACCAACTAATTCGCTATAGCTGTGGCTTATACTTTTCATAAATCCACTGAAAGGATTTCTCCAGTGCAAACAGGAATCATTTTACTTTTCTAATAATTTTAAGCACCTACTATGTGCCAGGAAGGAAATAAAACAGACCGGCTCTAACAGTGCCAGGGTCCCTTGGCCTGGAAAGCAGTCCACGAATGCCTGCTGAGGGAATCCTGACAAACCACAAGGAAGAGATTCAAAGAGGTAAGGGCAAACTTCTTTGGGGCCATGGTTATTGGCCAAATGCCATAGTGAGTGCTGACCAGTACCCAACTTGGCTACTTCTGTAGGAGTGGGCTGTAGATGTCCACTGTACCCACAGGCCATGCCAGGGTTCCTATTTGGCAAAAAAACAGAAAACTCCAAGATGCTGCTGCCTTTAATATGACGTAAGTGCTGTGCGGCCTGGATTTCCAATATAAAATTTAATTTGCCCAGTTCCCTGGTGGTGAAGAATTCTTTTCTGAGACCTGGGTGAAGCACTCAACTAAATCAGTTGCCTTGCTGGTTCAGGTCCTTGTCCCACCCTTACTGACCTGCCGGTCTCCTTCCTCAGACGGTCCAGCTGGAGGCTCAGGTCCCGCTCGAGCTCCTGGCGCTGGGCTTCCCGGACAAGTGTTGAGGTGGGTCTGGTACCTCCGGGTACTGCCTGTGCTTCACTTCCAGGTGGGTCTGCTGGGGGACCATCCTGGTCCGTCTCATCTGGGTCCTCTTCCATCCTTTCTATTTCCAAGATGGGCTCAAAGTGGGCTCGGAGCTCTACGCAGTCATGGAGGAAGAAGAAAGGACCACGGTTCAACAGGACCAGAGCCTCGTGTACCCACCAGGGTTGCTGGCCCTGCCAATGCAATGCTGGATTGGGACTGATTTTAACAATGGGGAGGAACTACTTCACTCAGTTCTTGGCAGTGCAAAAGTCATCACCCCCAGAGCCGGGAGTAATGCGGTCCCGGGGATGAAAGAGCTGCTCTCGGAAGTTAAAGCTGAGCTGGGCTCCCATGCATTCAGGGGAGCAGGCAAAAGACAGGGAAGGAGTGAAATCCAGAGAGGAAATGGCAGTGTCAACACAAGTGTTACACATCTTCCTTTGCAGGAAGAAGTTACCACAGAAAGAATCAACTTGAGTAGTGAGCGGCTCTTAACAGAGTGGACAAGAGCAAAAGATATCTAGAGTTACACATGGTGATTCTGAGGAGAAGGCCCCACTCAATTCTCAACCCACCAGCAGGTGTTCCTAAGGATGCACTGTAGCATCTATGCTAACTTTCAGATCATGGGTTTAGTCTTGGTTAGGCCCGGGAGGCACAGAAATACAGCGCCAGAGAAATTCTTAGAGTCAGAATCTTAGCCCCAAAGGGTCTGTGACACTTGTTTTATTACAAGGAAGTATGGCCAAGATGGAGGAGAGAGAAGCACTTACGTGAGATGAGAATGACGACTGCAGCCATCACGGCTCGCTGGATGATGATATCCATCGCAAACATCCACTGGGCATTAATTAGATGGTGCCTCAGCATTCTCGTCACCTATAAAACACAAAAATGCAGACTTCTGGTCCACTATACTTTTAAGGAGCAAGTTTTTACTAATTCTAATTTCTACTCTCTGAGATAAAGTGCTAACCATTCTGCTCTGCATTTCTACCCTACTTCTGGAATGAGTCTCCAAGCTGACCCTAAGTCGTGCTGGGGTCTAGAAGATGGGTACGGTGATCAAATCTACTGCCCTGGGCCTCTTCATTGCTGATTCACTGAGCACTTAATGAGCCTGAGGACCCACGAAACCTCGGGCCCTGTGTTGGAGGCTTACAACACAAAGCTCAGGCAGACATGGTCTCACACCTGGAACAACTCTGGGCAGACACAAGCTTAAGCCCCAAACCTAGTCTGCTGGCAAATGCTACTTGTTCCCAAATCCTGCACTCCTGCTATTTGTAGCCAAACGCAATTGACCTATTCACCTGTGGTTGCATATTCAATGTTTAGAAGAACTGAAACCCATATTCAGGTGTCAACAGGTGAGGAGAAGGGGACTGTGAAAGAAGATGGTAACTGAACTCCATGGGATTGGCTATGCGCTGCTTCAGTGGGCTTCCTGCTTTCTGGCATGTTCTCTAGGGCCGCATAGAGTACTTACAACGCTCTGAAATCCAAACAGTATCAGAGGAATCTGACTGAGTAAAAAGCTGTCAAACTTCAGGTCCTCCTTTAGCTCTGATATCATGGATGCCATCACTCCATGCTCCTCGGAGTGGATGAAGTCCCTCAGGATCCCAATTATTTGCTTGATGTGGTCAGCTGTGAGGTGCGGTTCTTCCGAATTCTGATATCACACACACACACACACAAATCACTTTCAATGAGTAAGTCCGAGAGAGGAAGCAAAATTCAAGAAGTATTGTGGGAAACTAGATTAACTAGATTGTCCATGATGCATCTGCTAAAGAAGTGTGGATGCCTCAGGTGAGATGGGATCTCTCTTCCTGGAATTCTCTCCATCTTTTCTGTTAGAGGGTTCTATGCCCCCCCCCCCTTCTCGCTGGCCCCCACACATGCAACTAAGCCCCCCAGGAATGTTTCAGCATCCTGTTTAACCCCTTTTAAGACCCGGCCTTG